ACGGCAAAAATAACACTGGCTATCGTGTTCACGCGATGGTTTTCTGCAGCTTTGCTGAAAATGAGCCCCTAGCAGAACAGCCAGGAGTTGCATTGTTTTCCCCAACAATTTGAGGATCTATTTTGAGATTCAGTTTAACTCTTCCCGGTGCTGATGTACTTTTCTCTAAGACAAGGCATGCTTAGCCATGTCACAGGCCCTTCAAATCAAAAGTGTCTATACAGTTACCAAAGAGAAAGTTTGTGGGTGTCATGCATGAACAGGTCCCAAAATGCTCTGCTGCGCCAAGTTCAAGGTTATACAGCAGCTGGGCATACAACTGGAGTTCAGAAGACAAGCTACCCTTGAGTCTCTGTCAAGTGAAAAACATTAAATGGAAAGGTTGAAAAGGTGGCTGTGCTCTGAAACAGGGAGGGGATGGGGTGAGGGAAGGCATCAAGCCTCATCTGCCTGATTAGCTCAGGCCCTGATGTCACCCACCCCTGAGTTCAGTCTCCATCTTGGTCAGATAAGAAGTAGCTCTGCATCCACATATTCCTGAAGACAGGAAAAACTGTGTGCCCCAAGGCCTCTATGTTATGTTTTTGGTGATGGTGATGGTGATGGGTTGGTTTGAGTCAAGTTTCATGTTTCCCAGACTAACCTCCAACTCCTATGCAGCCGAGGGGGGCCTTGAACTTCTGATTCTCCTGCTTCCACCTCCTAGAGTGCTGGAACAGCATCCTGTTTATCTGGTGCATCCTACATGCTAGACAAGCACTGTACCAACTACACTATATCCTCGGCCACCCCAACCCTCCTCCCAACGTCCCATGTTAACAAGTGGTTCTATGAAAAGACATGGAGGACACCTGAATCATACTCCTAGTGAAAGAAGCTAGTCAGAGTGGACGATAAACTACAGGAGTCCAACTAGATGACATCCTAGGAGGGAAAAAGAACACAGGGCACAGTCTAAAGAACAGTAGTCACCAAGAACTGGGGAAGGAGAGAAAAAGGACACAGCGGGGCAGGAGGTGTTTAGGGCAGGGAGACTATCCTGGATGAGTTTCTAACAGTGGATACATATTACATATTTGTGCAAACCCCTAGAGCACACACCATCAAGAGTGAACTGTGGATGATGATGCACATAGGAGGTTTGCCTGTGGGGTTGGCAACAAATGTCCCGTTCTGGTGTAGAAGCTTGATAAGGAGAGAGGGTGGGCGGTGGAATTAGGGACAGTTTGGGAACTCTCTGCTCTTCCCATTTCTCTGTGAACCTAAAATTACTCTAAAAAATAAAGCCTATTTTTTTAAGAAAAGCATTTCCAACATTGGCTCATTTTTTCTTTTATTAATTAAAAGGCTCGCTGGGCATGGTTGTGCATACCTGTCATATAAGCAGCCAAAGGCAGGAAGACTGTTGAGTTCAAGGTCAGTCTGAGCTACAGAGTAAGCTCTTGTCTCAAAAAAAAAAAGAGAAAAAAAAAACCTACAAGCCTGGGGTTTCTAATCTTTCCTAAGAAGCATGCTTTAAGGACTGGAGAGATGGCTCAGTGGTTAAGAGTGTGTACTGAGTTTGGTTCCCAGCACCCAGGTTGGTGTCTCACAACTGCCTGTAACTCCAGTTCCAAGGGACTGACACCCTCTACTGGTCTCCATGGGCACATGCGTGTGCACGTGCACACACACACACACACACACACACACACACATAAAATCTTTTTTTAAAAGCATGCTTTAATTACTGAGTTGTAACTCACACAATCATCAGAATTAGCTGCCCAACTTTCAGAGCCCACTGAAAAATGAACACGTGGGGCCCCTTGTCCAAAATACACCAAAAAATTCAAGACTGCTGGCAACATACCTTTAAGCCAAGTGCACAGGTCCTGCTGCCACCAAGATGATCCTGATATCATCCATGTCGAAACCCTGGGACATCTCAAGTGGGGAAAGAAAAGCAGAGGTACACAGTGCTTTCCCTGACATATCAAATCTCTGGTCTCCTGTTCCAGGGTGGGTGACTCACTGTCTTGAAGTGTTGGACACCAAATGCTATGCATAGAATTGGTCTGTGAGGTCCTCCTCACCTCTCATGTGTGCTTTCTGAATTATCTGAGATTCTGGATTATTTGGTAGAAAGAGACTCAATGACACAGAAATATGTGTATGAATTTTTAACTTCTTGCATTTTATTATGTGTGGCAAGTGCATAGGTGCCTGTGCCATGAAGCATGCGTGGAGGTCAGCGGACAATATATGGGCATCATTTTTCTTCTCCTAACAGATGGGTCCTGGGACTCAAACTCAGATTGTCACGCTTGGTGGCAAGCACCTTTACCCACTAAGCTATCTCACCAGCTCAGTTGAAATGTTCAGACTTGAAGTCAGGCAAAGCAAAATAAGATTTGCCCAAGTTACAGGAAAATAAAAAATGGAACTGATCAACGGTAAAGTGAAGTCTGTTTTCCAGAGTGACTATCACAACATGAAGCTGTCACAGGCCTAGGACTGCATCTTACTGCAATCAGCAAAACACTTCACAGTTCCAGGAAAGGACTTTGTGGACAAGACCATGGCAGCAGTTTAACATACTTCACTAATGACTTTGGGGCTCCTGATTAAATGCCAGAGCTGGGTTATTTTTAGATGGAGGCACTCAGACTCTAGAGTGACTGCTATTTGCCCCTTGATAAAAACCTGGGTTACTAGGCTTTATGTATTCAAGGCGCCAAGCCTGAGTTTCCAGTGAGTTCCACAGGAATTGGGGACTGCCTGGAATCTAAGAGTTTGTCAGTCAATTTTATCAACTTGATGGAATTAGGAAATGCCCAGGGTATTATTGAATCACACCTTTGGGTGTATCTATCGGAGCATTTACTGAGATTAATGGAGGGGGAAGGCCCATCCCAAGTGTAGGCAGTACCATTCTATGACCTGGGGTCCCAGACTAAATGAGAGAAAAAGCAGTCCCTTTTCTCTTGTTTACTCAGATATAAGCAAGCAGCCTGTAGTCACATCTTCCCCACCATGATGGTCTGTACCCTTGAACATGAACCCAAATAAACCCTTCTGTTTGGTGACTTCATATCAGGTATTTGGTCACAGTCACAAAAAAAAGTAATTAATATTGATCTTTTGCTAAATAACCCCCCTACTCATTTACATCTACTGGGTCATATAAGCTTGGGCTAAAAACCAAACCAATCTGTGTTTTGCTGTCTAACAAGTCTGGCTAAAGTGATAGACAAGCTCCTGGGAGGGAACCTGGGACTATGCAGGTGGGTATATCTCATTCCATCTTATTAACACAGCTGGGCCACCAGTGGTAGGGGATTTAGGCTGCTTCATCCTGAACACTCCTCCACATCCTCATGTGAGCTTTTACAGTTAAATTAATCATTGCCTCCAGGCCAGAGTTAGAGATGGACTTTTGCACCCCAAGGCCCTAACCAAAACAAAGTCCACTAGGAGTGTACAGTAATCACATAGCAAGATAAGGATCTTCCCGGCTAAGCCAGGAGTAGATGTGCACATTTGTAGACCATGCAAGATGAGCATTTTTAAAAAGCCAATAGTGAAGCAATTAAAAAGCCATGCCCTATTTTGTGAGCTTTAATTTGACTCCTGTAATTTTCATAATCTCCATTTCACACATGGGGAAATGGAGACATGGTGTGACCTGTCCAAGATCCCAGCAGACTAGCTGCAGAAGCAATGGTGGTTTGCCTGCACCACTGCACAAAGGTGTAAGCCTACTTCTAAACATGGCAGAATATGGAAGGGAAAAACATTCACCTCGATGCCAGAGTTTGCATGAGTTATATGACTTAAATGCCAGCCTTAGCTATTGATATTTATCACCATCACTTAAATGGAGAAAGCCACTCGTCCCCAAGTCTACAGGCTGAGTGGAAATATAACTCAAGGGCTACCAGGCTGTGCTTGTTTCTGTCATTCCAGGTCAAGTTTAAGATACCATACCTGACTTTGGCTGTATCATTGGGAGCCACAAAGGCAAATTCTACAAGGGCTGGGAATTCCAAAATGAAACCGAAGGGCAGGAAGACTGTGTCTCCTAATGCACAGCAAAGTCCCCAAGCAGAGGTCTAAAAGGGAGAAAACAGTTGTCCCAGATGTGTCTATTGGCAATTACCAAACCATGTTGTTCAATGACATCCAAACTAATAACACTGAGTAAAGTGGCAATTGTTTAAAATGACTAAAAAGGGAGAAAACAATGTTTCCACAGACGCAGGGTAACCTTGAAAAAGATTTTTCTTCCTGAAACTGTTTTAGTCAGCTGGAGGGGAAACAAAAGGAAACAAGGAAGTCGATTTTAAAAAATAGCTAAGAAAGAGGGAGACCGTCATTAGTCTTATAATCAAATGGCAGCCACAGCTGCAGACTTAAGACAGCAGCAATTCTGTTCAGAGACAAACTAAGCAAGTGGCTTAATCACATACCTGATTCTGGACTCTGGCAAAGGAACCCAGAATCTCCAGTCTCATGGTCTTTAGTTTAAAACAAACAAAAAGTAACTTTTGATATTTTATAAAAAAAAAAATAAAATAAAAGACCAAAATGACAATTTTAGCCAAGTATCCTACATATAGGTATGAGTCATTTACTCTTACAAATTCAATGTGATGCATGATTTTTTTCTGCCTAGATTTGATGTGAGCGTATGAAGATGACTAGGGCAAGGAGGGAAAGTGTCAGAAGAAAATTAGAGGCTCGGGGTGATGAAGATCCTGCTAATTCCAATTCTCCTCTATACGGCAGACTCAGTAGAGCCCCAAGAACACTCAAGTACGACATAAATCTATGCATAAAGTGATCGTAATCTCTTATAACAAGTGTTTATTGAATACCTTCTGTGGACCAGCTCCTGTCTCCCCTTTGCTACTTTTTCAAAAATAAGAAATCTCTTATGCAGACAAGGTGGTGATCAAGAACTTCCACTACGTAAGCTGTTAAGAGATGCTGCATCTTAACACACAGTGATAGTTCAATATGGAATGATGAAAAATTTATTTGAGGAAAATGCCCCATGTTTCCTTGCTTCACAAAGATAAACCCCCACCACAGAGGAGATCACGCGGCCATGGTTACTTTAGTGCCACTCTTCATGTGTGGAGAGTCCAGGGTTAGGACAGCTGGAGAGACGTCCAGATGTTCTGCTCCCAGCTGGTCATACAGACTACGCAACACTCGAGCTGAGGAGAGCTTGCAGTACAATCAGCCAAGAAATGAATTCTTCCAGATGTCTCTCATTAATATTTGAGTGTGAGCTTTGCATGGCTCAACAGTTATCCAACTTTAAGTCGTAATTTAGTACTGAAATCAAATATATTTCTGTACTGAGAATGAATCAACAAATGTCTTCAAACCCAGGGATCACATTTTAAAATGAGCCTGATCTGACAATAAGCACACCTCTTCACTTAGCTTTAAATATTGCTTGTACATGCTAAAGTTTTATTTTTATATTTTTGCATCGCAACAGTATGATGCCACAAATCAGCAGACCAGTGGGGAATTTTGTTCACAGCTCCATTACACTAATTCCCAGCAGTGAGTTGTGGTGCATTCTCCATCCTCCAAGTTTATAAAAAGTAACTTTGGAACTTCCAAGTCAGCCAGCTGACAGTCACTCCTCTTTCTGGACCTACAATTCAATAAGACAGTCCTTTGGGACCTGCTGATCTCTCTGGAGTCTTTGCATCACCACTGGATAAAGAGTCTGAACTTAATTGTCCTTAGCAGAAAAGCTTCAGTTAATGAGTATCAAGTGGTCATCACTTCCTTTCCTGTAACAAAAAGAGAGATGAGGGAAGAAGGGAGCAGTGATTTAATAATGTTTTGTTTTGCTTTTGTTTTGTTTGAAACAAGATCTCACGTAGCTCAGGCTGGCCACAAACTTAATTTGTATCTGAAGATAACCTTAAATTCCTGATCATCTTGCATCCACCTCCCAGAGGACATGCAACACCAGGCTTAACTTTTAAATTTTTTATTTCATATATATAGTGGTGCCTGGTATCAAAGCAAGGGCCTTGCCTATGCGGGCAAGGACACACCATTGAGCTGCATTCCCTAGCCGGACTCCTAAAAATCTTTACAAAAAGACTGGAATATAGGCCCACACAGGTTATGTGAGCAAAATGCTTAAAAGGAAGAAAAATTAAGAGGGGATATTTACATAATTTGAGGTTGGGTAGATGCTTCTGGAAACACCCTGCAGGCAGCCATCATCTTAGGCTGCACCTTCTCTAACACAGCCTTAACAGTGCTACAAGGGCCAGGCTCCTCCACTGCAGAAGAGAAAGTATAACACATCTGCTTAACTGAGCCTTTCTTGGCAAAGAAACACATCACCAGTGGCCCAGAAGAGGTTTCAGAGGCTACCAGGCTCAGCCTGATAACACCGGATGAATCAAGTGGTTTGGAAGAGGTCACAGGTCACATAGGACACACTTGAGGACTGGCAGGGTCCAAAACAAAAGCCTAGGTGTACTCATGATCAGGCTAGAGGTTCTGTCCACAACTCAAACGGCTACTTTGTTGACATGAGTGACCACTCTCATGCCCTATAGGGGGCACAGCTGGGATGGTTGGGTCCATCCATCGCCAGGCAGGGAGACCTGATAGTAATCTTCACAATAGCATTATCGTCCAGGTGGCCTAGTGAGCTGCTTCTCCAATATCTGACGACTGTTCATTGTTGTCCTAGTTTTTTTCTCCATTGCTGTGACAAAACACTCTGACCACTACCAACTTGGGGAGGAAAGAGTTTATTTATCTTACATCTCCTGGGTCACAGTTCATCAGGGAGTCCAAGGTAGGAACTCAGGGCAAGAACCTGGAGGCAAGAGCTGGAACACAGGCCATGGAGGATCACTGCTTACTGGCTTGAGCCCCTGGCCCTACTTTCTTATGCAACACAGGCCCACATGCCCAGGGGTGGCACCACCCACAGTGGGTTGGGCCTTCCCACATCACTCAACAATCAAGAAGATGCCCCATAGACATGGCCACAGGCCAGTTCAATAGAGGAAATTCTCCAGTTGAGGCTCCTTCAACCCAGGTGTGTCAAATTGACACTAAAGCTATTCAGCACAATTGTCTCCCTGGGTTTGAGTCCACTCATCCCTCCCTAGCCTTTCAGCACATCAAGGGATAGTTTTCAACAGACCCAAGCAGGCACCTGCTCTCTGGCCTCACTGTAATCCACATTCAGCAGGTCCTGCAGGGTCCAAGCCCCTGACATTGAGGCTTTCATCTGAATCCCACTGCATACCATTCAAGTTGACTTCACCAATGACCAACTTTGGGCCAAACAGTAACCGCCACTCGTGCCTCTGTGTTTGATACCCTGTTTTGTCAGAACTTTCCTCATCCTAGTTCTGTGGTTGGCTTCCTTGTTGGATTCTTACGTCCCTTTTATTCTTCATGATGGGCATCCTTTGTACCACGCACCATCTAAACAACCCCTTAGCACCCTTATATCTTTCATTATTCCATAGGTCTCACCAATAATACTTTTAACTGATTCCTCGGGGATTTTACAAAACAAAACAAGATTCAAAGATGGAACATGGTTATATAGAATGCTACCAGACACACTGGTCGTCTTTCAGAAATCAGAACTACATTTTCCATTGAAATCCACCCCCATATCAACTGTGATGATTACTCTTGTCAATTTGATGGAACTTAGAATCACCTAGAATATACACCTCTGCATGCTTCTTTGAGAGTGTTTCCAGGGAGGTTTAACTGAGGAAGGAAGATCCACCCTGAATATAGGCAGCACCATTCCATGGGCTGGGGTCTCAGAGTTAATAAAAATGGGGAAAGGAGGAAGCCAGCAGGGCACTGTCCCTTTCCGCTTCCTGACTGTGGAATCACTGGGACCAGCTGCCACATAACCCCGCCACCATACCCTCCTGCTATGAGGGACTGCACCTCCAAATCCTTTCTCCTTTAAGTTGCTTTTTCCAAAGTGCTTTGTCACAGTCCCCCAGCAAAGTAGCTAACACAACTACATAACAGCAAAGCAACTTTTCCCTTATCCTCGCTGACTCTTAGGAGGCAGTTGCCAATTAAGCAAATGAATTTCCCTTATCCTGGCTTTCACAGCAACAATTTAAGGCTCTGAGAGGATGAAATGCAATTTTGAAAATTTCTCAGAAGATCTCATTTCATATTTACCAGACATTCTTTGGATATGCTCAATCATATTGCAAATCCCAAGATGCAGCATGAATTGATTAACAGAAAAATACATCTTGCGATTTTGAGTAGCAATTATGTTCTCCTCCCTTCCTTCAGGAATTCATTTTAGAGAATCCGCCTAAAAAAATATGGATAGGGAATACTTTGAAAACTTCCACCGCTGACCCCAGATAAAAACACAGATGGGTACTTTTAAGAAAATTGTCCCCATCTGACGTCCACTCCAGTCCCCACACACTGTATAGCATGCTTTGGTCATTTTGGTCTAGGTCATTATCCTGAGTCCAAAAGCCAGAAAAGCCCAGCTGAGTGATGAAGAGCTACTGGTGTGTCTTTCCAAACAAGGACACCAACAACTTCCTCTCAATGGCAGTCTCCTGTTCTGTTCGAGGAGATTTGTACCACATCCCGTGAAAAGGGAAAACATCTTTGAGATTCCTGGAAGGTCCACCTCCAAAGCACGAACTCTGATCTCATCCTTTGGTCCCTTAAGATTTCATCTTCTTGACTTCAGGGTCATAATTCATCTTCCTTAGAAGGCTCTCATATGATCTCTGTGTTTCAATCACATCATGGAGCTTTCTACACAGCCATTGCTGTGTAGAAAATTGTTTTACAAGAAACAATTCATTTCTAAAATGAGTTTTTATGGGAGCAAAGGAAAAAAGATGAACTATTTCCCACCCCAAGCTGGTTTCAAAGTGCAGTGTTAACCTTAGGGATGACCTTCTGGCCTACTGAGTAGCTGTCAGGAGCCTGGAGATTAAACACAATACTGACCTCCTCAGACAGCAGGCACAGGATAGCAAAGCTGACGGCTCTTTCTGGTGTCCATCTTGACTACTGCATTCCTTCAGGAATTTCTGCAGGTCCGTTTCAGGAAACCCATTCTGCTGGTATTTCTTTTGGAAAGCACACAATGCTGTTAGCTTCTATATGGAGCATGAGACTTTGTCAACAAACCAAACCCTCTTTTGCTGAACTGAAACTCTCCCACAGTGCTAGCTCAGACCCAAGAAGTACTACGAACAATGACAAACAATCTGTCAGTTCTAGAACAGCAAGCCAGGGGCACTATGGAAACTGAGAACAATGGAAGGAAAATTCCGGAAAACAAGCCAGGGGAGAGCAGAGGAGAGGTATGTTGAAAAGGAGGAAACAATGAGACCAGCAAAGACCGTCCACTCCACTCCACACATCGCCCACCTAGAATCTCACAGGGAAATAATCCACTTCTTCTCTTGATATGGAAAGTTAACCACAGAGTAGAACAGAAGGTAGATTTTCCCCAGCAGACACAAAAAACCCCAGGACCTTTTTGTGTTCAGTAAGGTCACCCACCTCAACACTGATGTCTGCCCCCACACAGGGACACTACCATATCAAAGACATGAACCTCCGTGTCTGAAGCCTGCAATTCTCTCTCTGACATATACCCCACTGCAAGGGCCAACCATCATGCACACATCTGATTCTAATCCATACCACTGACCACTGAACTGACTTCTGAGTTTGCCTGGGAAGCATTAGGTAGAAGGCAGCACCCAAGAGCTCCAACATGGCACTCATGTAGCTCAGACACTGTCCGTGAAGTAGTTTTCCCATCACAGCCATCTGCTGTGAGAGTACCAGTTCCTAAGGGAGCCTCCTTAGAGCTACAAATCATTTAAACAGGCCCAGTCAGAAAGGGTATGGGATGTACCTGAGTGCCTTGAGAAAGCATGGCTTTTCCCTTTCATCCCTTAAAGGAAATCTGTATCATTCCATGTTCATATCATCCAGCATAAGGTATGCAAGTATCATCTGGCCAGATGTCAGGGTGGCAACCACCTCCCAGTCCTCAAGATTACCACCTCAAACCGAGGACCCGGTAGCCACTTTGCAGGTCCATCAGTCATTGCCCAGAGCAGCAGTCTAGTTGGTGGCTCATCATGCTGAGCCCAGACTTTCCTGCTTGCTTTCTGTTTCCCAGCATACCTCTAACCCAAACCACCTTGAATGTCTCAAGTGCATATTTCCAATCAGTCATCAGCATCAAAAATAGCCTTATTTTCTTTGAAAACCTGAAAGTCTAAATAAAATCATATTTAAGTAAAACTACAGTATTCTCTTAAATTCCGCTCTTTACGGTATCTGCAGTGCTTTGGGCAGCAAATATTGATCATTACTTACTTTAATGGTGTCATAAGAATCTGTGATAAGAGCAATAAAAAGGCTGAGGACCATGTATATGAAGAGGCTGATGAAGGAATAGAGGTAGAGGCGACTAAACAGCCACACCAAGACGCTCTTCTGCTGGATCTGAGCAAAGGTTGCAAACATGTCATCACCGTTGACCAGAGAAAACAGGCACTCGGATACTATGTTCAGATTTTCAAACTGCAGGGGAAACAGACAAGAGCTTCTGAGCTAGAGCTGTGTCAGTTTATTTCTGTCATGACTAGAAGTTACCTATTTGTCCTAAGACAGGAGAAAGAACAGGAAAATATCTGAACCCCTCTCCTATACTCTGAAGTACTATCTTGATATTTCTTTCAGCTTTTTCCTGTGTACTTTCTGTTCCTCTCGACAAAATCATCTTCATGTACTGTTCACACAGAAGAGCACTTGATACCAATTAGGCCATTCCTTAGAAATGTCAAATTTAATGATTTTCCTGGCACTGGGCAAGCTATGTTTGCTACTATAAAGAATAAGGTACCTAGCATTTCTATGCTGTTTATTTCTATTTGGGGGGTCCAAAATGATAAATTGGGGTCAGGGGAGCAGGCGTGGTGGCACACACCTGGCAGATCTCTATGAGATCAAGGCCAGCCTGATCTACATAGTGAGGTCCAGGCCAGTTGGGATTACATGGACACCCTGTCTCAAAAAGAAAGAAAAATAAGTTGGGGGTGGGTGGACAGTACAGGCTGCTGGGCAAGTGTTCTACCACTGAGCCACATCCCTAGTCCTTTTTATTCCCTAGACAGAGTGATACTACATAGCTTAGGTTAACTCACGATGCCTTGGTGCCACCCTCCCAAGTGCTAGGATTACAAATGGGCACCACCATGCTGAAGAGGCTGGTGCTTAATGTATGACCAAAGGGTATTCTAAATGGTTGGACCATAGCCTTTCCAACCATACATCCAGATAACTTTAGCAAATTAAAACTAAAGACTGTCAAAGAGAAGGAATAATCACGACGCACACTTTCAAAGGACTCCCACCCATACAGGCAGGTAGTGAGGCCCCATGGAAATGCTGGGGTGGGCCATACAAGACAAGTGATCCTCAGAACTAGTTCTCAGAGGAAAAGAGGAGGGGTGTACTCAGTGGTTGTGGCCAAGTGCAGTGCTGAGTCACAGGAGCAGTGCTGACAAGGGACATCAAGCCCCGCTGTACAGGGCCTCCCTGGGACTTCTACATACTTCAGGCTTATTCTAGCCCACAATTAGACTTGATTGAAAGACAATCCAGCCATGGGAGTGATGTGATGTGATCTGGTCCATGTTTATCAAAAACCTAACAGTGTGTGGAAGACAGCTTAGATTGGGAGTAGCCCAGGGCTGGAGAGATGGCTCAGCAGTTAAGAGCACTGGCTGCTCTTGCAGATAATCCATGTTCCATTCTCGGCGCCCACATAGCCACTAACAACCATCTGTGACTCCAGTTCCAGGGGATCCAACGCCCTCTTCTGACCGCCATGTGTATTGCATGGCACAGGTACACTTGCATACATGCAGGCAATATGCTCATGCACATAAAATAAAAATAAGTAAAAAAAAGGAATTGGAGTAACCCAGGACTGGGTACAAGTCCGAGGCAACATTAGGAGTTCACGTGAGAAAGGAGAACCCTGGCTAGAAAACAAATTCTGGAGAAAGTGTATCTGGTGGTGGGGTAAGGGAAAGGGCTGAGTGATGGCTAATCTAGACTGTCAAATTGATCTAGAATCACCTAGGAGACAAACTACCAGGTATGCCTTTTAGGGAGTTTCTAAACTGGTTAAACTGAGATGGGACCTACCCTAAATGTAGATGGCATGATATAGTCTCTCAGTCTCTCTCTGTGTGTCTCTCTCTGTCTCTCTGTCTCTGTCTCTCCCCCTCCCCCTTCCTGACTGCAGATGTAGTGTGACCAGTTACCTCACAATCCTGCTGCCATGATGGGCTTTATCTTCAAACTTAAGCCAAAATAAATCCTTCCCTCCTTTAGTTCCTTCCTTCTGTCTGGCATTTTGTCACAGTAATCAGGAAAGTAAGTAATGTAGGCTATTAATGGACCCAGTTTTACACAAGGTGGATCTGACGCCAAGTGGGAATGTGGACACTAGGTGATTCTGCTGAAGGTATACACCTGGGACTCGGGAGCTGATCCAAAGCTGACAGGGTGCCACTGGAATCTCATTGTCAGCATCCTACCTCGGAGGAACAAACAAAATACTGCCATCTCCATTAAAAACCAATGGTATTCCCTTAATATATGTGTCTGGAGCCAGTGGATTAAATACTAGATGACTATGAAACCCTGTGGAGTAAAATGATGTAAAAGACAGTACAGTTTTCAGAAACAGATCAAACAAGCTACTATAAAGTTATGAATCTAATTCTGGCCTTAGGGTTCAGGGTCTCTGTTTGCTAACTACGCATACCCTTGGGGACACTCAAAGCTTTGATAAACATCTAGACACCTTTACATTGTCACTCCACAGGTAAAGAAGTAAATCTCTCAGCATCCTACCTGGGAAAATAAGCTTTCCTTCCAATTTCACTTATTTCTACAGTTGATTCCAATCTCCTACTGAAAGAAGCATTTGCATCAAAATAGCCAAGTACATAAAACTACGTGCTGACTTGGCTAGCCTTCCCCACCCTTCAGTCCTCTAAAGCCTGTATGCTCTGCAACATGCTTCTCTGAGCCAGCCTTCCTAGTCTACTCTAACCTCAGTGTTAACATTGGATTACTACAGAAACTTCCAGGAAAATTTCTCTAGCCTCTTTGTCCTCTAGTTCAAAGTGCAAAGAAACCGACATTTCATAAAGATGACTTTCAAGTCATTTCTCTTGCTTATGGCCGTGAAAGGTGAAAATGTAAGCTCAGAAGTTTGCAATATGTCCTCTGTATGACCCTTATGGCTTCTCCTAGTCAATACTAACATTTAATGTTATCTCGTCCCATGGCACCAGGTCCCGTTTCTCTATCTTGTCCTGGTGGAATTTAGTCTCTTCACCTTGTATATTCTTCCTGATATTCAGTGTCCCACAAAGTCAACATTCAAGGGCTAATTCAAAGTCTACCTCAAGACGGAGTGCCCTGGCAGCTCCAGCCTCTTCTCAGCAAGAACTACAGAACAATCTGTGAATGGTTCTAATTGCTCAACACACTGCTGTACACTTCGGTTGCATAGCAAACAGTGGGTCTTAAGCTTCTTCCTGTGGTTAGAATGGGCACAGTAGAACGTGTGGGCAGGTTAAGAGAGCACACGAGCACACCCCAAGCAAGGATCACTCTCACACCTTTGAGAAGTCAACAACTCTGACGACCTGGACTAGAGTTGCTCTCCTTAGACACCTGCAGGAAGCAGCCAGTTGCACAGAACACTTGATTATGTGATAGTAAGACAGGTGAGTCCCAGTTCATTTCCCATCTTCGCCCCATCCCCAAGACAATGAGGCCAACATTGGCTTCTCTGGATGTCAGTTAAAGCTCAGACAACATCATGGTTCTCATAATTACCTTTACAATCTGGTCAATTTCTTTCTTCAGTTTTGAGACCCTTAACTGTGTGTTCCTGCTTTAGAACTGCAAATATCTCATTGGCCAGAACCTAACAGATTCATTTCTTAGTTTCCTATATAGACACAATGTCTGTCTCAACATTAATGTTATTCATAATCATTATAACTCTCCCTCCTGTGTACACATAAGAATTATTTTAACCCACCATCAAGTTAAAACAGAGACCTAGTAAATTAAATACCTAATGAATACCATGTCATTTTTCTACCATAAAATTGGCTATAAACCAGAATCTGTTTCAATGACCAGATTCTAAAAAAGTAAGCTTAAAACAGACCCCTGGCAATTGGAAGGATTCATTGACAGGGCATTGCCTTGAGAATTGTAAACCTCTAGTTGCTTTTCTTGTCACTGTGACCAAATACCTGATGAGGAGGGAGGGTTTATTTGGATCACGGTCTGAGGGGATGCTGGGAAGGTGTGGCAGTGGGGAGCTCTGGGACAGCAGGACTATGTCTCAGCTGCTGACTCACATCTCAGTGGACCAAGAAGCAGAGAAGAGAAACTGCTGGCACTCTTACGGTGCCTTTTTGCCCCTTTTTATTTATTCTGGGGTCCCAACCCACAAGATGGTGCTGCCCACCCTCAGAGCAAGTCTTCCCTCCTTGGTTAGACCTCTGGAAATGCCCAAACAGATATGCCTAGGGGTTTGTCTCTTAGGTGATTCTAAATCAAAGCAAATTGATAATGAAAATTGCTCGTCACACTCTGGAAAGCAAGTACCACTGTCTCCTTTTAGTAAACTTGCTAAGTTCCTGCCACATTCTATGCTGCAGGTCAAACACTGGAAATACGAAGTATAAGCCACTACCTCTGCCTTCCAAGATCTCAATCTTGACAGAGTTTCATGCACAGAGACATTTAATAAACACTAAATGGGTATTTCCATAAAAAGTTCCTGTAGGTTCTATGGGGCTACAGCAAGAAACCAAACATTTATTTCACAAATGTTAATTTTGTGAGCTAGTCGAAAAGGGCTTTCATTTGAATACAGACATAACTTGCAATGTTTTATGTTAGAAACTAATGTAAAGTATTCATCAAGAATACGTAGCAAAAATCTCATGCAACATGTAGGTAAAATATTTTAGCTGGCTTATGCCTATTTTAAATAAGCAAACCAAAGTGTTCATTAAAAAAAGTCAGAAGTCTTGGAAATTTCTGAATCATACCCATGGCATCAGCAAAGTGCAACAATTTTTCAATGCTTTGTTCTTATTTGTAAAATAGGACAAGGTAAATCTATTATTCGTGCATAACAGTAAAATAAGAAGTCCTCTGGAAATGGGAAGCATAAAAACCATATTAGGGAAGTGTTTAATAATTCAAGATGAGGTTTGGAAGATTAGCAGTCCTCAGCCCTCTGTGCCCAGACGTCTTCAAGGAGATGGTGCCAAAGTCCATTAGTGCTGGAAACGAGCATCAATGTGACACTTTCTGTTCCTTGAGCAGAACCACAGAAATTAGATGTGTAACAGGCAAACAGGGGGCTAAAGTGCTTGCTGCTTTGACTACCAAGCAGTTGTATTGAATTAGAATTTTCTTGACACCTTCTGTTTAGAGTTTTGTTGGCTTGTTTGTTTTAAATAATGAATAGCTTTCACAGTCAAGGTTGCTGTGGTTCTAAAAATACTAGAAAAAATTTGGCAGTAACAACCAGCTTTTCTAGGGTTTAGTGAACACAGAAGGACCTCTGACTCAATGGTTTCTGGCACAACCTGGACTTTCTGACAATTTGCATTTATTTGAAGGAGGTGCTGCAGGGAGCAGTAAATTTTTCTGACTTCAAATTCAAAGTAACAGCAATATGGGGCAGAAAAGCATAAAATTCCAGAACCAGACTGAAACTCCTTCACTCTACTCAGCTGTGCATTTACTGGATAAACTCAACTCTGTATTCCTCCAACCTATCATCCTGGCTAGAGATGGGAGAAGGGTGTCATAAACAGACCTACCTGGCGACCCTAGACGTGCCTCTCTCACCCTCCTACTACCCAGGGGGATATATTAAGTGAGAGACACACCTACGGGTGATCTTCAAAATGAAAGCTACCCACCACACGTGACTGTTGAGCATGTGACGGACATGAAGTCTGTCCAAACCAAAATGTGCAAGTGTGGGGAAGTCACTCAGTTGGCAGAGTGCTAGCTTAGTATGCATGCAACCCTGGGTTAGAACTATAGCACCACATATACTAGGTATAGCACCACATTATACTATGTCTGTAATCCAAGGACTCAGAAGATGAAGACCAGAAGATCAGAATTTCCAGGTCATCCTCTACTATATAGCAAAGTTTGAGGCCAGTTTGGGCTACATGCAGTCCTATCTCAAAAACAAATTGAATTATGTGTGAGGTTACAAGAGACATCAGACTTCAAATACTCAGTACCAAAAAGTAAAGACATTGAGGTATTTTACATTGTTTACATGCCAGTGTAGTATTGGGGCTATACTAGGTTTATAAAATATATAAAATCAAACTTCATCTGTTTCTTCCTTATTTTTAATGTGGCTATTAGAATATTTTGAAGTACGCACATAGGCGCATTTGTGACTCACATTTCCTGTTCGATAGTGCTGGCCCAGAGCATCCCAACTTCATCTACATCCTTTGGAAGGACAAAGATGAACATATGGGAATGCATTCAGGCTCACAAAGCAAGTGACTTCATTTTCCACCAGGTGATCTTGATGCATATCTAGGGAATGCAACCAATTCGGTGGCTTTGGGCTCATGGTTGAGCCAGAAGTATCAACCTGCTTCTTGGGTCAAACTAAATGCTCTTTTGCAATGGTCTGTTTTAAACAACAGCAATAAAAGCCCTATGAGGTGTTGGCCAAAGCCTGAGTACGGAGCTCGGGCACGCAGGGGTTTGCACGCTGACATCGCAGTTTGCCATCTAGGTAACCTAGAAAATGACTTGGTATATTAAGGTGCTTATTTTCTGTAAAGGATAATATTTTCTCACAGGGAAGTGAAGGGAGGTACTATAGTACGGTTCTCAGGATGTCCCCAAAGTTTCAGGTGTTGAAGGCTTGGTCTCCACCTGTGTCACAACTGAGTATCTTAAAGACGTAATGCCTAGCGGGAGGAAGTCCCTAGGGAGGCCTTCTGGGGTCTGCTCTTGAAGGAGTTACTGGAAGCCCAGTCCCTTCCTGTCTCTTTTACTCCTTTTTGGTAAACAGGCAGCCTTTGTTAAGTTCCTGCCAAGATGTGCTGCCTTGTAACAGTTTCTAAGGCAACAGGGCCAAGTGACCCTGAATGAAATCCCTGAAATCATGAGCTAAAATAATGTTTTCCTGTCAGGCACTTCATCACAGAAAGCCAACAGGAGGGTCAGCATAGCAAAGAACTTGGGCACCAGGCTGAACAAAAAATCAGAGAATGGCAGCCATTGGTGAAATTCAAACAATATTAACTGAGCACCTTCCAGAATGATAGGGAGAGGAGACGGAACCACTTTTCCTGAGGTCTTGGGGCCAATGGGTTGAGTAAAATCAGTATTTATTCCACACAGTATTTATTCCACACAGTGTAACACTGCCCTCTAGTGACAAAAGGTGGAGCAGTTCTCGATGTGTAAGATCAGGCAAGAAGGGAAAACGCACAGGAGACAGTGGCTCTCCAGATTAGCGCTAACATATCAAAGAACTTTTTACTCACGGGGAACCTTCAAAAAAGTCACATGAACAGGAAAATCAATAAGATTATCAAAATTTACTATTAAACTGGAGGTTGTGCCTTTGTTAATTACACTCTTTTTCAAGGAAGAAAAATAGTCATTCTTTTTGGATACATTAAAAACGTGATAGAGAGGTAAGCCTTGGAATACCAGGATATTGGGTTTTATTCTGGTAGGACAAAAGAGATAGCATTTCTTACTCTTTCTAAACAGCTTACAAACCCAATTTTAACACGTATTTGTTAATGTAGTTATCAAGGTGAATGCTTAGGGTTGAGCTGTTAAATAAACTCAGAATGAATCCTTTGCCTCTTTCCTCCCTGCTGGACACCTGGGGTATGATACCAGTGTGGGGGTGGGGGGTGACATGAGAGAGAACAGAGGCATGTTCAGCACAATGTCTAACATGCAGCAGCAGGTGGAACTCTTACCACTGTTGCTTCCGACATTCCAACAGTCACAGGCCTATGGAAGAAAAACTAAGGCACAATAACTACTTTTACTTCTGCAGCTTGAAAACAACCTAGCTAGGATTATACCATCCTATGTTATCATTTTAGGATGTCTTTGCATGACATTGGCAATCCTGGGGTTATGATGTTGCCTGAAAAATAGTTTGAAACTCAGATTCTGATCTTTAATAAGACTCAGACCTGATGCTGTGATCTAAGTCACCTGTAAGGACATGTGTTCTAGTTAGCTACTCTACTGCTGTGACAAAACACTCTGACCAATACCAAGTTGGAGAAGAAAGGGTTTATTTGGCTTATATCTCCCAGGTCACAGTTCATCATTAAAGGAACCCTAGGTAGAAACTCAAGGCAGGAACCTGGAGGCAGGAGCTGGGGGACAAGCCATGGAGGAACGCTGCTTACTGACTTGCTTTCCTGGCCCATGCTCAACCTGCTTTCTCACTCAACACAGGACCATCTGCCCAAGGTGGCAGCATCCACAGTGGGCTGGGCCCTCCCCCTCCCACATCACTCAACAATCAAGAAAATGCCTCACAGACATGACCACAGGTCAGTCCAATGGAGGCAATTCACCAATTGAGGCTCCCTCTATCCAGGTATGTCAAGTTGATACTAAAGCTATCTAGCACAGACATGTCTTCATTTCAATGAGAAATGAAATGGTCACTCTGGGCAGAGCCTTGACTCTTCCATTCTCCTCAACCAATATAAATGTAATTCCTAATACATCCAATTAGAAAGATTCTGTAATAATTCCCTTACTCTGTTTTTGCTAACAGTGATCTCATGACCAAACATTTCTCATTTATTAATCAGCTAGGTAAACGTGCGAGCTCTTACGTGAAGCCCAGACTACTATACTAGGAGTTTTTCAGTCTCTTGTCGGTCCTGATTCGATAACCTAAAGTCGTTTCCAAATCCTGAAAAGACGACAAAGAAAATGGAGAGAAAGGTCTCTGGTTACTGACATCTAGGGCGCTCCCTGGAGGAAAGTGAGCAGGAGGAAAGTGCTGCAGACCCACCATCAAGGGTGGTCCAGCAGGAAGAACAGCACTGCATACCTTCTCGTGATAGGGTCCTAAGACAATCCAGCCGCAGAAGGTGTAACCCAGATAGATCATGCCAGCGCACGCACAGAACCGGAGAACCTTGGGCAGCGAGGCCTGCATCGTTAAAATGAGCACCTGAAAAAGAAATTTAAACGGGTTAATGGGATGGGGGAGATGGGAAAGAAAAGTTTGTAGAACACAAAGAAACGAGTGTCCATTGCAATGGTATGTCTCTGTGCTTACATTGTATGTTTGAAAATAACCCAAGTATCTGATGACTCCAACCCAGACAAAGAGCGTAGATGTCCCGAGCAAAATGCTGCACAGATCGTAATTTGTGAGGTTCTAAGGAGGGAAAAGAAAATGTAGGTAAGTCCCCTGCCAGTCCACTTGGCTCATTTACTGCACTTTAAATGGTTGAGAACAGACTGCCCTGTACAGGTGCTACATGGTGGATCATGTCTGTAATCCCAGCACTTGGGAAGCCGAGGCAGGAGAATTACTATGAGTTCAAGGCCAGCCTGAACTAGAGTGAGACTTGACCTCAAAACAAACCAATGAAGAAAATAATGAAGAGGAGGAGGAGGAAGAGGAAAGGGAGGAAGAACAAGAGGAAGGGAAGGGGAGAGAGAGGAAGGGGGAAGGAAAAGGAGGGGGAAG